CGTATCCTCAGTTCACAGCCCTCTTGGGCAATTTCCCTTCAAGTTTCAGAATAGAATAGTTCAGTTGGTGACCACTGTAGGTCCCTTCCTAGTCCAACTGCTTTTCCTTTCCACCAAGCTGGGATTTATGCTGATAGTCATGATATGTGCCAGAGAAGCAATTAGAAGTTGATTAAGTCCTATATGCCTGTTTCTGCTTTTTCTAATATGCTGATGTTGTCTTAGGATGTGAAGGCATCTAAACTCAGTCCTGTCAGCCAAAATAATGCAGCGTCACCTCGAGCCTACTGTTTTCAGCTATGATTGTAGAATTTCTTACCTGTTCATTGTTGTCTCCCAAGATGTGCACGTTAGATAAATTATATTTTTAAAGTCCAGTTCTCATTTAAATTTGAAGTTTTACCTGTTAAACATTCTGATTTGGACACAAAGTACATTGAAGATAGGTGGATACTGAATTGTTTACTCTGAACAGGGCATACCACTAACTTTGCCATCTTTCCTTCTCTCAGTGTGTTCAATGGGTGGATGAAGCCAAACTAAACCAAATGAGACGGGAAGGCATTCGCTATGCTAGAATTCAGTTGTGTGACAATGACATCTACTTCATCCCTAGAAATGTCATTCATCAGTTCAAAACAGTGTCAGCAGTCTGCAGTTTAGCCTGGCACATAAGACTTAAACAATATCACCCCGTGGGGGAGACTTCTCAAAATGCAGAAAGCAACTCAAGCTCGAACAGTAGTGTTCCTGGAAAGACAGAGTCAGAAGGTGAACCCCAGTGTGTGAGCGTAAAAATAGAGTCTGAAGAACCAGGTATAGAAATGCAGCTTACAACAGGGGTGCTCTCCTCCTCTGTTTCTTCAATATCGGGACTTGTGCAACCAGATCAGGTCGCCCAGCCCCTTCCAGGTTTTAAAATAGAGTCTGATCAGCAACACAATCCACAGGATCATGCAGGCTCTTCTGTGTGATATGTATATAATCAAACATTTTTTTAACAACTTTTTAAAATTTTGATGTGAAGTTATAGTTTTATAACTGGCTTATGTTTTATTGGAGAAATCTTGCCTATAATTCTATAAAGAAAGGTGACATTCCAAAATGTCAAGCATATCTTTTTTACACAGATTATGCAAAATTCAAGTTGTATTTTAACCCCTTAGTACAACCTGTAACAGTGGTCTACCACTTCTTTCTGTTTAAATAAAGAGATATTGAATATCTCCTCAAAGTCAGAATGGAATTCCTCCAGGAACACAAAACGATTGAACTATATTGGTCAGTGTTATTTCCCTCCTTTACTTTATCTCTAATCTTCACCAGAAAGCGATGCTTTTGTAGAAGACTTGCAAAGTGACTTTCCAATTTCATTTTAATTGCTTAAAAAAAGAAAGCACAGCACTTTTGATGATTTGTGAAATTTTTGGTATGTCTGTTCTTGACATGTTGGTTTATATACAAGTTGGGTTTATATACAAGCTATAGAAATTGATCTCTATTCCTTACAGTTCCTACAAAGGTGATCTGTAAAATTAACTGAAGAAAGTGTCTGATCCTGTTGAAATGCAATGACTTACTGACCTAACACTTTTCATAGCACTGCTTACGTTGTTTGGTGTGAGGGTTTTGCTTCTAAAATACATCTTCCCTGAACATGATTAATACTTGTGTCAAAACTAGAGAACCTATCGGTAGTCTCGTGGAGGAAACTGCTATCTTTGAGCACTTTAAGGCTTTAAAATACTAACCAACTTGGCAGCTTGTTTTGATCAGGTCGTAACGTGTCCAATGGAACCACACTTTCCCTTGTACTGATGCACTTAATATAATAGCGTTGAGTCAATAACTGACTTACACAGTAAGGCTGTCCTTACTCTAGGAGGTTCTGTATTACTATTTCACAATAAAAAGTATTATGGCATTGGACTGCTGTTTCCATGTGTAGCTTCTGGGTGCCCAGGTACTGTGGAAAAATCAGTGGCACATGCTAAATACGTAGAGTGTCAGCTATCAACAGTTTTTAAACGATCTTTCAATATTTCTGGATGTTAACGTGTAATCTGTATTTGACTTTCACTCACCCCGTTTACTGCTGCCCTTTCCAGTCATCAAAAGGAAAAGTCCTGTCCCTTTCTCCCTCTCCCTTCCCCTCCCCGCACTTAGAGTACAAGTTGGGTTTTGGTGCAACTTAAGCTGTCTCCAGATAACTTTATTTGTTCTAATCCTCACTGGGGTAGGAAAGATTTGAAACACTATGTTAGACTAGACAAAAGCAAAGATGCTGTGTTAGTTCTGGATGCATCTTTTTAATATCAATTATTACTCTTCTCTTTATAAGGGTCTCTAAAATATGTTACTCTATTATAAATCTTACTTTGTGCAATATTGTTTGTGTAGGCTTTTATATACATATTAGCACCTCAGTGTAGAGGTCACTATTTTAAACTGATAGAAAAATAATCATCAGAAGATACTGCAGTGATTAGTTAGAACCTGTATTACTCCTTATGTGTATGTATGTATTGTCTTCGGTACAAAAATGAGGACTAGGAAATATTTCAATTTAAAACTAATTTACAGATTGAAGTGGTAGTGACTTGTTTAGTAATCTGTGTAAATAAGGTGTTAGAATGGAAAGCTTTTATGATGAAAAGTAATGTGATTCATGCAGGGGTGTAATTTAATCTTAGCAGAAATTCTAGATGACCCAGACTGGTTCGTAAGTGAGCCATCTGTTCTCTGGTGGGTTTTTCCACTTTTTATGTTGAGAGGAATTTCATAGCTTTAAGGGTTGTACAAAGTAAAATTCCTCACAGGCAATAGTGGTTTCAGTTCATCCTTTACATTCAAAGAGCGTATTACCCAAGGGTGTTCTTTCCTTTTTACCAAGTCTGCTAGTCTTCCAAGTGCCCATTTCACTTCTCACATGTGCTATTCTTCGGTCGTGTCAGTAGAGGTACATCGATAGGGTGGCCCTTCTTCGACAGCCAGCACTGCGTACAATCACTCAGGAACTGACGAGTCTGCAGATATCACAGTGAGTCTGCAAACATAACTCTAAAGGCAGAACAAATGGATTAAGAGCCCCCATGTACCAACTTGCCTGCTCTATAGTGCGAGTTGAAATAGAATGAAGAGGGAATCAATTTGGAAGTCCTCTGTAAATTCTAATAGCATGTTTTCAAATGGATAAAGGAAGAAGACCAGAGTGGCTCATGTTGCTTTCAAAACTGTGGCTTTAGTGAAATCTGTGACTACAGCCTGAAATACCAGGAAAATGCTCTGACTTATCTCTTTGGAGGGACATGACCGATAGTATCATGCTCTCTTTATGTTCCATTCAATTACTAACTTAATACCTAACATCAGATTTAAATATGGAAATGTATATTCAAATGACTTGAATGTTGCTGATGCTGTTCTAGCATGCTTGGAAGATGGAGGAAGAGAGGAGCAAACGTTGTAAAAATCTGTTACCTAAATGTGTCATCAGCTTTGCTACACTTTAACCAAAATGACATACTGCTGTCAAACTCCATCTTGGTTCTGGATGTGAAGTATGAGAGGGATTGCTTAGGAAGCTGATAGATGTACTGTCCAGCTGTTGTTTCAACATTGCTTCAATTGCACTGGAAACAACAGAGCAGAGTTAGAACAATGCCTCGGTGCAAAGGATGCAAATTCTTCCAGAACAAGACATGTAGAATACTGATTTTTATAAGCTATAGCTGTGTAGAAATGGAGTAACAAGTTCAAGCCACTTAGTGTTTGCTGAGCAAAACAAATCTCTGAGTAGGTCCAGGTGAATATTTCAGAATACATCTCATGTTAACTGTCTTGCTGTTTGAATTTCTCTGTGAGATTTCATAAAACGGCCTGCATAATGAGATAATCTGAGTTTGGCGGGTTTGAGGGGTGGTTCTAATAGTTACCTGGATAGATACCGAACAGTTCCTAAATGTGAATGAGCTGGTCAGTTAGTGTAAATGTGCCCTGTGATACGTGTGCCGGTCGGTAACGCGAAGGCGCTCCTGCTTTGTGCTGGAGACAACTGATTGACCCAGCGCTCTGCCTGTAGAGAGCGATCAGCTGTGAGATACGGAACTCGGGCTTAGGATTCTATTTTAAGTAAAGTGCTGTTGATTAAAAATGTCACTTGGGGAAGAAGGCGAGTGGCTCGGTTGTGCTAGAAGCGGACTAGCAAAATGCGGTTTAAAGATGAAGTTCTGGTTACCTTTGGATTCCTCTCTCCTTTAGACATGCGACAAGTCATTTTGTGCAGATATGACACGTTCTCTTCCAGGAGGGTGGGACACTCGGCGAAGTGTTCTCAGGGGATTTATAACCACCACTTTTCACAGGTGTAGATCTTGCCATACAGAACAAGGGCTCCCCACTGCGCTCTGTCAGTGTTCCTGCGTGTGACGGTCCGGTTCCCCTGGACAAGGGTAATTGTCAGAGCTTTTCCCGCAGGCGTGAGCTCGAGTCCTTGGCCGGGCCTGGCCTGCCCTGCTGCTTCCAGGCCCGAATCCCCGGAGCCATAGACTGTCAGGGCGCTCTCCCGGGAGCGCTCGGCGGCGGCAGCTCTGTGCTCGCTGCGGGGGTGC